ATTTGCTATTGTTTTGTTAAGCACTGGACAGGCTGTGTGCTTTTTGAGCTGTGACAGCTATTTTTTCTTAGCTTTGGCCCTCTTTCCTACCTTGAGGAGGTGAATCTCCTCCCTTTCTAATTTTCTTTCTAAATAAACTATATTTTCTTTAAAAAAAAATGTAGGCAATAAAAATTGAGTCACTGGCCATGCATGGTGGCTCATGCCTATAATCCCAGCACTTTGGGAGTCTGACATGAGAGGATTGCCTGACCCTAGGGCTTCAAGACCAGCCTGGGCAACATAGCAAGACCTCGTCTCTACAGTAAATCAAAAACTTAGTTGAGCATGGTAAAGGGCACATGTAGTTCCAGCTACTTGAAAGGTTCAGGTACAAGTATCGCCTGAGCACAGTAGGTCAAGTCTGCATAGTCATGAGCATACCATTGCACTCCAGCCTGGGCATAGAGTGAGACTCTGACTCAAAAAAAAAAAGAAAAAGAAATTGAGTCACTCATCTGTACCTCTTCCCCAGTGAGCACTATGTAAAGCTGTGCTGGCCTCCCAAGTATTTACCGCTTCCTAGTAAAACAGTCCTGCTCATTCTTTTGCTTGCTGTTTCCTAGATCTCATTTCTTTTTCTCTCTCTCTTTTAATTTGATTATTTTAAAGATGTGGAGTACAATTCAGGATTAGGTATGCAAATGTTCAGTATGCAGGTACCTTTGTTGATGAGGTGTGTCCCCCTTTCCTGGCAGGTTCCCAATACTGCCAATCCCGTTACTGCCAGTCCTTTTCTTACAATATGTTAATTGTTCAAGGCCTGCTTATGAGTGAGAATATGTGATAATCAGTTCTTTGTTTCTGTGAAAGATCACTCAGCATTATAGACCCTAAGTCCACCCAGGTTGCTGCAAAGTTCATGATTTTGTTGTTCTTTATGACAACGTACTACTGCATTGTGTATATGTACCACATTTTTTTTATCCAGTCCTCTTTTGATGGGCTGCATGGTTGGTTCCATGTTCTTGCTACTGTGAACAGTGCTGCGATAAACATATGTGTGCAGGTATCTTTTTTATGCAGTGGTTTGAGTCCTTCCGGGTGTATTACCAGTAGGCAGATTGCGGGGTCGTATGGAAGGATGATTTTTAGATCTTTTAGGAATTGCCACACTGTTTTTCACAAAGGCTGCACTAGTTTGCACTTCCACCAAGAGTGTAGAAGTGCTCCCTTTTTGCTGTATCCTCTTCAGCATCTGTTTTTTGAGTTAATGATGATGTCCATCTTGACTGGAGTTAGATGGTATCTCAGTGTAGTTTTAGTTTGCATTTCTTTGATGACTAGTGAGGCTGAGCATTTTTTCATGTATCTGTTGGCTGCACATATGTCTTCTTTTGAAAAGTATCTGTTCATATCTTTTGCCCACTTAGTAATGAAGCTTTTTGTTTTTTTCCTTTTTGGCACGTTTGAGTTCCTTGTAGATCCTAGATGTTAGACCTTACAGTTGGCAAATATTTTTTCCCAGTCTGTGGGCTATTAGATCTCATTTCAAAGTTTTATTTTTTTATACAATTTTTATTTATTTTTATTTTTTGAGTTGGAGTCTCGCTCTGTCACCCAGACTGGAGTACAGTGGCCGCTCCCGGCTACCACAGCCTCGCCTGCTGGGCTCCAGCGATCCTTCCGCCTCAGCCTTCCGAGTAGCCGGAATTACAGGCATGCACTACCACGCCCGGCTGATTTTTTGATTTATTGTAGAGATGAGGTCTCGCCTGCCCAGGCGGGTCTCGAACCCGCGGGCTCAGGCAATCCACTCACCTCAGCCTCCCAAAGGCGGGGAGACGACCCGGTATACAATTTTGTTTGTTTTTTTTTTTTTTTTTTTTGAGTTGGAGTCTCACTCTGTCCAGAAAACTAACACTGACATTATCTTCTGAGAGAATGCAAATATTCTCCTATTCTTGGAGTCTCAAAGCCACCCAACCAAGGATCAACTTTATATTTCAAAGCCTCTGTTGTAAATAGAAAAGTCCCCTATTGCATTTATAAACATCTATGTTCTTAAGACCGTTGAAGTTAATTGCCAGATGACCTCTTTTTTTTCCTAGCGGTCATTCTGTCTATGCTGTCAGTGCCCAGCATAGAAATATAAAATTGAGAGACAGCGATAACATATACAGCATTTAGAACAATGTCCTTTTTTTCCCCTTTGGCTTATCAATGAGTCGGTACTAAAAATTCTGTTTTGTTTTCATATTTCTAAAACAGATATATCTCTCCAAAAGTAATGTCTAGCTAATAAACTTTAAATACTATATAGTACTTAAAATTTAGTCCTGAGTTTTGGGACTAAAGTATGCAGTTTTCTGGGAGGAAAGCATCTAAAGAAATTATGTTCTGGCTTGGAGTATTGTCTTCCTTTATGTTTACCTTAATTATATCTCTTTTTTCTTTCAGAAAAAGCCTGGGCAGAAGCTGGATCAGCAAGAATGTCCCTCCTTATATTGGTGTCCATTTTCTTATCTGCAGCTTTTGTTATGTTTTTGGTATATAAAAATTTTCCTCAGCTTAGTGAGTAAGTATACTGACAGAGAAATGTAAGATGAAAGTGAATTAAAACTTAAACTTAGCCGGGCTCGGTGGCTCAGCCTGTAATCCTGCGCCTTTGGGAGGCTGAGGTGAGTGGATTGCCTGAGCCTGCAGGTTCAGCGAGACCTCATCTCTACAATAAAACAAAAAATCAGTCGTGTCGTGGTAGCTCATGCTTGTAATTCCGGCTACTCGGAAGGCTGAGGTGGAAGAATCGCTGGAGCCCAGCAGGCGAGGCTGCGGTGGCCGGGAGCGGCCACTGCACTCCAGTCTGGGCGACAGAGCGAGACTCCAACTCAAAAAACAAAGCAAAAAAACTTAAACTTTTAGCAACAGAACTATCATGGTGATTGTCTGTCAGCTCTGGTGACTTGTAGCAAATCTGTATCAACACTGTTATTTCAATACATCGCGACCCTGCATATATGTGCCTTCTCTCTCTCGCGCGCGATTTTATGTACATCTAAAACTAAAGATTTCATGAAATGTGTGGTATTTCCTGTAATTTTCTATTCATTTTATTTTACTTTTTCTTTTTGAGTTGGAGTCTCACTCTGTCGTCCAGGCTGGAGTACAGTGGGATGCTCACGGCCACCACAGCCTCTACTCGCTGGGCTCAGGGGATCCTTCCCCCTCAGCCTTCCAAGTAGCTGGAACTACAGGCGTGCACCACCACACCTGGCTAATTTTTTTATCTGTTGTAGAGACGAGATCTCGCCAAGTTGCCCAGGCTGGTCTCAAATCCTTGGGTTTAAGGCAAACCTTTCGCCTCCCAGAGTGCTGGGATTACAGGCTTGAGTCACCACGCCTGGCCGTTGTACTTTTTGATACTAGTGGTGACCAAGTAAATTTATCTTGTAGTTCATAATAGATACTGATCTGAGGTTTGAATAAAACATGGTTGTCTCCTCTGCTTTTCCTTTTTTTGTATCCCTGTTTTTCTTTGTGTTAATTTTTTGCCTGCTTTGTTCTTCCATTTTCTTTCATACCACATTTTGTCTCCTGCCTCTTTTTGTCTTCCTTGTTTTATGGAAATCATATGGTCCGAATAGGTACTTTTCATGTGAAATAGACCTTGGAAAAGATTGTGTGCCTCGTGCACATCCACAATTCCTTAGCTAAAACCTTGGTGTAAGATGTGTTTCAGAATTTAGGTATTTTCCATTTTGGAAAGGTAACATGGAATATATACTATATATTATGTAATTCCTCTGGCAAGCAGCCTCCCATAACTAAAAACATTAATATTTTTGGAGAGAAACATTAAGCACGATATGACTATAATGTTACATAAATGTAGATCAGTTTTTGCTGGCAGATTATAAAGAATTTCTGGTTTTCAGAATTTTTTTAATTTTAGGAAAGAGACTGTGGACCTGAAACATATTTTAGAAGGGTAAAATATTCCAGAGGTATTAAAACATACTAGTAAGCCGGGCGTGGTGGCTCATGCCTGTAATCCCAGCCCTTTGGGAGGCGGAGGTAGGAGAATTGTTTGCGTTCAGGGGTTCGAGACCAGCCTAGACAACTTGACAAGATCTCAACTCTACAATAAATCAAGAAAAATTAGCCAGGTGTGGTGGCACATGCCTGTAGTTCCAGCTACTTGGAAGACTGAGGTGAAAGGATCACATGGGTCCAGCAGGTTGAGGCTGCAGTGGCTGTGAGCATGACACTGCACTCCAGCCTGGGCGACAGAGTGAGTCTGACTCAAAAAAACCCACCAAAAAATACAAATAACCACCCTGGTATAATCATAGATTACATGAAAAACTACTAAAATGTGGTTAGAGTCTCAACCAGGGCCTGCCAATGTCACGGATAACTGTGATACGTGATTTCAAGGTATCAGAAAGTTCCTGTTTTCTCCAAATTACTTTTCATTCACAACTTTTAATGCTTTGAATTTTTTAGTGAAACTTAATTTTTAAAAAATATGTTGATCTCTTAAATCAATGTAAATAAATGCCTTTGGGAGAGTAGCATGCTATATTGTTGAGTTACTATTAGTTTGATTGAATTTTAGATCCTTTCTGGTTTTGATCAAGGAATAAGGAGTAGAGCTAGAAAGAAGGAACGAATAGACTCTAGGTTAAGGTCATCTTCCCAGTCTTTTCCAAAAGTTTCATGAAACAGGTGGTATGAATGAGGCCTCTAAGAATGATGACATAGGATTTGTATAAAAGAATATTTTATTACAAACCTTTTCTATTATTTGTCTATATGTGTATTTATGTGCTTGTGCACACCCATGTGTGACACTCCAAGAGTCTTCTTTTTTTTGAGTTGGAGTCACTCTGTTACCCAGTTTGGAGTGCTATGGCACACTCACGGCCACTGCAGCCTCAGCCCACTGGGCTCAGGTAATCTTTCCGCCTCAGCCTTCCAAATAGCTGGAACTACAGGCACACACCACCATGCCCAGCTAATTTTTTGATTTATTGAAGAGATGAGGTCTCATCAAGTTACCCAGGCTGAGCTTGAACCTGTGGGCTCAGGCAGTTCTCTCACCTCGGCCTCCCAGAATGCTGGGATTATAGGAGTGAGCCACTGTGTTTGGCTGAGAGCCCTTTTTAGATGACTAGATATTTTTATAGGACTTAAGTACGCAGTTTACTATCATTGTTCTTCATGGTCAGTTACATTTTTATCATTTAGACAAATTAGCATAATACATATTAAACACAAAGGTGATTTTTGAGGCTTTCATAAGCAAGATGTCACTCAGTTTCAAACAGTCAATTACAAAGTAAAATTAATATAAAGGGGAAAATGTTCGAAGCTGTTTTCTGAACTTGGAGCTGAAATACTCAATAGAAGGTGTGAAGTGTGAATTCATTACAATTTTTACTTAATTTTCATTGTAAATAATTCTTGACTGTAGTTTATCATGAGGATTACCCAAAAATGATATTAAATGTTTTTAATATGCTAATATTGGTTTTTCATTTTTTTATATTTGATTTAAAAATTTATACCAGTGTTAGAACAAATGCATTTAACCTTTAGTTTGTGTGATCTTGAACTTTCATATGTAAATTACATCTTACAGAAATACATTAAAGCATTAAAAAACAAATAATTTATAGACTTTTGAACTTAAAAGTTGCAAATTTAGGCCAGGTGTGGTGACTCACGCTTATAATCCCAGCACTTTGGGAGGCCAAGGTGAGAGGATCACTTGAGGCCATGATTTTGAGACCAGTCTGGGCAACTTAATGAGACCTCGTCTTTACAAAAAATATAATTAGCTGGGTGTGGTGGCGTGAGCCTGTAGTCCCAGCTACTTGGGAGGCTGAAGTAGGAGGATCCCTGAGCTCAGAAGGTCGAGGCTGTGGTGATTTGTGATTGTGCCACTGCCTTCCAGCCTGACTCAAAAAAAAAAAAAAAAAAGAAAGTTGCTACTTAGACTTATAATACAGGTCAAGGCTTCAAATCATTTTGGATAAAACTTCATGTTTAGAACTTGATGTTGATATTAATTATCTTGGCAAAATTTTGCTTAAACATTTTTTGCTTTTATTTCTTCAGAGAAGAAAGAGTGAACATGAAGGTTCCCAGAGATATGGATGATGCCAAGGCTCTAGGAAAAGTTTTATCCAAATATAAGGACACCTTTTATGTTGAAGTACTAGTAGCTTATTTTGCTACATATATTTTGTATCCTTTTAACTGAAAAATGTTTTTAACTTTAAGAAAAGGTTTAAGAGGTCTGCTGTTTATTTTTATATAACTTTTTCCTTTTAAAAATTATTTGTTAACTGATTATTTTAATTTAAATTATTATTTTGAATTAATAGTCACCATACCATTATTTCAAAAAGTGTTCCCTTAGGTTTGGAGGTATAATTTGTATTTAATTTTTTGCTTTTATAGATGTGTTATGAATCTCCTTTGTTTATGATATTTTTTTCTTCCATTTAACTTTTGCCTTTGTAAAAATTCTTAGGATACTTAATCTTTCAAAGGAATGAATTTTTTTATAGTTCTTGGTATATATTTCTTTGTTTTATAGAAATATGTGTTGTATTTTAACTAGTCAGGAGCTTCAACAGTTATCAATATTATTCCAAACTTGTTTCTTTGACTTTGTAATTTATACCTTTTAGAGAAAAAGGGAATAGGTAGAGTACCATGTTTGAGATTAAGAAAAGAAGATAACACTTTCTTTGATTTAGGACATGCTGAATTTTAAATATTCAAATGGAAGTATCTATACCTATATGTCAGTCAGTAGAGGACTAGTTGAATAAACTATAGTAAATCCAAACAGGGTTTGGGGAGTGCTGTGTAGCTATTAAAAGGAATGAAAAATATCTCTATGTACTGTTAATGTATTAACTCAGATAATAATGTCAAGTGCAAAAAGCAAAGTGTGAAATAGTGCTTAAGTATGCTATATTTTGTCTAAGAAGGATCACTTGAGACCAGGAGTTTGAGACCACGCTGGACAATATAGCAAGACCCTGTATCTACAAAAAATTTTAAAAGTTAACTGGTCATGGGGGTGCAAGCCTGTAGTTCTGGCTACTCAGGAGCCTGGGACAAGAGAATAGCTTGAGTCCAGGAGTTTGAGGCTGCTGTGATCATGACACTGCAGATCGTGATTCTGGGCAACAGAGCGAGACCTTATCTCTAAAAAGAATAAGTATTGGCAAGGATATGGAAAAAGTGGAACCCTCGTGCACTGTTGGTGGGAATGTAAAATGATGCAGCTACTGTGGCAAACACTATGGCAGTTCCTCAGAAATTGAAAATAGAATTATATGATCCAGCAATTCTGGATATATGCTCAAAAGAATTGAAAGCCTGGTCTTGAGCTATTTGTGCGTCTGAGTCTGTAGCAGCAACATTCACAATAGCCAAAAGATAGAAACAACTCAGGTCCTTTGATAGATAAATGGGTAAACAAAATGTGGTATAGGCATACAATGGAATGTTAATTAGCTATGAAAAGGAACAAAATACTGATTCATGCTTTTAACCTTTAAAAGTCAAAGAAGGTAGACACAAGGACAAATATTGTATGATTTCACTTTTATGAGGTACTTAGAATGGGCAAATTCACAGAGACAGAAAAGACTTCAAGGAAATTTTAAACTGTTTTCAGTAATAATATTGCTGACAATGATATTGTTCTGAAATATATAAATATGTGGGAAAGTTTCAGAATAATACTAATGTATCTATTTTATGAAATATATTTTAAGCCGGGCTTGGTGGCTCAGCCTATAATCCCGCGCCTTTGGGAGGCTGAGGTGAGTGGATTACCTGAGCCCGCGGGTTCAAGACCCGCCTGGGCAGCAAGACCTCATCTCTACAATAAATCAAAAAATCAGCCGGGCGTGGTAGCGCATGCCTGTAATTCCGGCTACTTGGAAGGCTGAGGCGGAAGGATCACCGGTGCCCAGCAGGTTGAGACTGCGGTGGCCGGGAGTGGCCACTGCACTCCAGTCTGGGCGACAGAGTGAGACTCCAACTCAAAAAAAAATATATATATAAGTATATATATTTTAATAGTAAAGCAAGCTGGGCATGGTGTTGTGTTCCAGTCCCAGATACTCAGAAGGCTGATAGGAGGATTGCTTGAACCCAGGAGTTTAAGGCTGCTGCAGTGAGCTATGATCATGTCACTGCACTCCAGTACTCCAACCTGGGTGATGGAGTGAGATTCCATCTCTTAAAAAAAAGTATGCAAACAAATGGGTGATTATGTTGATGTCATCAAGAACCAAGTTTTTTCTTAGAGTAAGAGAACAGAGATATAATTCTAAACAGCTAGAACATTAAGCTCAAGTAACTTTCCTATGCAAAAGGAAGAATAGTTTTGTTAAAGGGCAGAACATATTAAGCTACCCTAAGACATACAATAAGCAAAATTCACTAAGTGGTAAATTCTATAAATGAGATAAAGACCCTATACATAAGTGATAGTGAGTAAAAACCACCTGTGAACTCTTCAGATTGCAGCGTGAACAAAGTATAGAAAGATTATGAGGCATTTGGGGAGTCCAAACACAGACTGGTATTTATGATAAAAAGGAATTATAATTAGTTAATTTTTAAAATTTTTATCTTAAGCCTCATTTTAAAGTATGTTAATTTCTTTCTTTTTTTTTGTTTTGAGTTGAAATCTCACTCTGTTGCCCAGACTGGAGTGCAGTGGCACACTACTGGCCACCGCAGCCTTGACCTGCTGGGCTCCCGTGATCTTTTTGAGTCTGAGTCTCACTCTGTTACCCAGGCTGGAGTATAGGATGCAATCACAGCTCACTGTAGCCTCATGCTGCTGGGTTCAGGTAATCCTTCCAGCTCAACCTTCCAAGTAGCTGGAACTAAAGGCACACACCACCACACCCAGCTAAATTTTTGAATTGTAGAAACAAAATCTCACCAGTTGCCTACTCTGGTCTCGAACCCCTGGACTCAGGCAATCCTCTTGCCTCAGCCTCCCAAAGTGCTATGATTACGGGCTTGAGCCACTGCATCCAGCGATATACTGGTTTCTTTACTTTTATATATGTTTGATACTATCCATACTAAGGTCTTAACCCTGAAAAGTGTTATTTATTTCTTTTCTTTTTTTTTTTTTTTTTTTTGAGTTGGAGTCTCACTCTGTCACCCAGACTGGAGAGCAGTGGCTACTCCAGGCCACCGCAGCCTCGACCTGCTGGGCTCTGGCAATCCTTCCGTCTCAGCCATCCAAGTAGCTGAAACTACAGGCGTGCACTACCACGCCTGGCTAATTTTGTATTTATTATAGAGATGAGGTCTCGCCAAGTTGCCCAAGCGGGTCTCGAACCCGCGGGCTCAGGCAGTCCACTCACCTTGGCCTCCCAAAGTGCTGGGATTACAGGGTGAGCCACCGAGCCTGGCCTATTTATTTTCTTAATGGAGGCATCTAGGAGACAGGTGGAAATTTTGAGCTGGTATTTGATTAGAGAGTTTGGAGTTATTAGTACTGTATATATGGCTGATACTTGAAGCCATGAAAATGACTGAATTTATCAAAGGAAAGAAAAAGTGTGGCTAACAGAATGCTAGAGAAATCTCAGATTTGAGGAGAAAAATGTAGAGAAAAAATAACTCAGTTCACTGAAGTTGAGTTTCTTTTTTTGTGTGTGTGAGTTGGAGTCTCACTCTGTCGCCCAGACTGGAGTGCAGTGGCCGCTCCCGGCCACCACAGCCTCGACCTGCTGTGCTCCGGTGATCCTTCCGCCTCAGCCTTCCAAGTAGCCGGAATTACAGGCTTGCGCTACCACGCCCGGCTGATTTTTTGATTTATTGTAGAGATGAGGTCTTGCTGCCCAGGCGGGTCTCGAACCCGCAGGCTCAGGCAGTCCACTCACCTCAGCCTCCCAAAGGCGCAGTATTACAGGCTGAGCCACCGAGCCCGGTTTGAAGTTGAGTTTCATGTGGATGAGGTCTGTCCTGTGCAGAGATCACTAAAAGATGACTATTGAGAAAAAAATCACTAATGTTGGCTATAAGGAAGTTCCAGTAGAGTGGTGGATGGGTAAACCAAGTTGTAGGGGACAGAGAAAATCTTTTATGAGAAAATGAAGATGGGGGACAGTGGCTTACAGGATACCTTGCTTGAAGAAAGCAGAGATTTGTTTTTTGATTTTTTTTTCTTTTTTCTTTTTTTGAAAGCAGGATTTATTGAAAGGACAGAAAAGCTCCTAGAAAGAGAGTAGAGACAATGTTTCACTATGTTGGCAGGCTGCTCTTGAACTCTTGGCCTCAAGCAATCCTTTTGGCCTTGGCCTCTCAACTGGGATTATAGACATGAACCACCACCTGTAATTTTTTTTTTTTTTAGTTGGAAACTCACTCTGTTGCCCAGACTGGAGTGCAGTGGCACTCTCACCGCCACTACAGACATGCACCACCATGCCCGGCTAATTTTTTGGTTTACTGTAGAGATGAGGTCTCGCCATATTGCCCAGGCTGGTCGCAAACCCATGGGCTCAGACAATCCTCTCACCTCAGCCTCCCAAAGTGCAGGATTATAGGCATGAGCCACTGTGCCAAGCAGTTTGTTTTAATGCATAGGCATCTGAGTGGATTTATGAAAGAGGGATCCTGTGAAAGAGCAAGAAGTTGAAGATGAAAGAACCCAGGAGGAAAAAGATTGAAATGAAAATAGGAGTAAAATGGGAACTAGAGAAAAAGAGAGGAAAGGAGGATGGAGACATGTTGAGGAAATTCACTCTGACTGACTTGTAAGTAACTTGTGTTGGAGGGGAAAAGGAGGTCCAGACCAAAACTGAGAACTAGTGGAAAGTGGAAAAACATTCTATTTTAAAGAGAAGATTTGTAGCTTGCCAGGTGTGATGGCTAAAGCCTGTAATCTCAGCACTTTGGGAGGTGGAGGCAAGAGGATTACTTGAGCTCAGGGGTTTGAGACCAGCCTGAGCAACATGGCGAGACCTCGTCTCTACAATAAATCAAAAAATTAGCTGGGTGTGATGGCGCATGCCTGTGGTTCCAGCTACTTGGAAGGCTAAGTTGGGAGGATCACCTGAGCCCAGCAGGTGGAGGCTATGGTGGCTGTGAGCGTGCCACTGCACTCTAGTCTGGGCCACAGAGTGAGACTCCAACTAAAAAAAGAAAAAAAAGAATTGTAGCTTTTACTATACTTTGTAACCCTTATTTTTTTTTACTGAGTAGTTAACTGAGGCACATTTTCATAATTAAATTAGAAATAATTTATCTTATGCACATGATTTACCTTGTATTTTTAACTTTTTTTTTTGAGTTGGAATCTCACTCTGTCACCCAGACTGGAGTGCAGTGCCCACTCCTGGCCACTGCAGCCTCTACCTGCAGGGCTCCAGCGATCCTTCTGCCTCACCCTTCCAAGTGGCCGGAACTACAGGCGCGTGCTACCATGCCTGGCTGATTTTTTTATTTATTGTAGAGATGAGGTCTCGCCAAGTTGCACAAGCGGGTCTCGAACCCGCGGGCTCAGGCAATCCACTCACCTCAGCCTCCCAAAGGCGCGGGATTACAGGCTGAACCACCGAGCCCGGCCATTTTTTACTTTTTTAAGTTAGAGTCTCACTCTGTTACCCAGACTGGAGTACATGATCACAGCCATTGCAGCCTCAACCTGCTGGACTCAGGTGATCTTCCACCTCAGCCTTCCAGGTAGCTGGGCTATTGCACCTGGCTAACATCTTGATTTGTTGTAGAGAAGAGGTTTCGCCATGTTTCCCAGGCTGGTCTTGAACTTCTGGGTTCAGGGAGTCCTCCCATCTAGGCTTTCCAAATTGCTGGGATTGCAGGCGTGAACCACCACATCCTGCAGTGTACTTTATTTTTTATTTTTTTTTGAGTTGGAGTCTCACTCTGTGGCCCAGACTGGAGTGCAGTGGCCGCTCCCGGCTGCCGAGCCTCGACCTGCTGGGCTCCAGCGATGCTTCTGCCTCAGCCTTCCAAGTAGCCGGAATTACAGGCATGTGCTACCACGCCCAGCTGATTTTTTGATTTATTGTAGAGATAAGGTCTTGCTGCCCAGGCAGGTCTCAAACCCGTGGGCTCAGGCAATCCACTCACCTCAGCCTTCCAAAGGTGCGGGATTACAGGCTGAGCCACCGAGCCCAGCTGCAATTTACTTTATATGTACATGATTTTCTGAAAGCATTCAGGAGTAAATTAGATGTGTTAGAGAAGCACATTATTTAAAAGATTACTGAAGACTTTTTTCTCTTTTTTGCCAAAGTGCCAAATTTCTCTCTATCTGGTACATGTTGGTTACTTTTTGTGGAAACTGTCTAGTAGCACATTCTTATTGGTATTGTGTTTATGATACAGTTTAGTCAGTGGTCAACTTTGAATTAGAGGCATTACAGTAAGGAGTTACATTTTTTTTAAACTTTTGATTGTAGTTTTGTGATGCTGAAATGTGGATATGATCTCATTTATATGATAATTTCCTTTGTCTGAAATGTTGAATTTGTCTTTTTAAAATTCCATTTAATTATGTTTAATCCTTAACTTAGAAGTTACCAGCTTGCAAACATTTGCTATTCCAGGCTCTATATTTCTCAGTATACTCTCAGGTTTTCTTTATCCCTTTCCTCTAGCCTTATTTCTCGTTTGTTTGGTAAGTATATAAAATGAAATTGAAAGACTGAAAAAAAAAAAAGCTTTAAATAGAATGATGAGGATAATGATGGCATCTTAATCCCACCGGTCTATGTAATCTCACTAGTCTGTGTAAGCATAAGTTTAAGAGGAGTTCGTGTAAGTCTTTCCATAAGGAGGTATTACTTGCTTTTTTTTTTTTAGAACGAGGTATTACAGATTTAGTACGAGGTATTACAGATTTAGTTGTGTTTTATCAGCTCTATTTTAACCCTTCTTCCCTATTTGGTTTATTAACTGTGATAGTCCAAGTGTTTTGGTAGGCACAGTGAGTTAAGTCCCAGGGCTGTGGGTGGTGTTTTTAAGCATAGCAATTAAAAAACTCTTTTTTTTTGAGTTGGAGTCTCACTCCTTCGCCCAGGCTGGAGTGCAGTGGCACACACGCTCACGGCCATCCCAGTGTCAAACTTCTGGGTTCCAGCGATCCACCTCAGCCTTCCGAGTAGCTGGAACTACAGATGCGCACTACCACACCTGGCTATTTTTTATTGTAGAGATGAGGTCTTGCCAAGTAGCCTGGATTGGTCTTGAACCCGTGGGCTCAGGCAATCCACTTGCCTTGGCCTCCCAAAGTGTTGGGATTCCAGGCTGAGCCACCGAGCCCGGCCAAGCACAGCAATTGAAAAAAAAAACTTAGCTCCTGAAATTTTATTCTTAAGCTAAAGGCTAACATTAATTATTTAGATATAGTCACCCAGTCTAATCACAAATACCAGTGTGTTTTAACTGGTCTCAATTTGAGACACAGTTTGGTCTGAGAAGGGACTAGATCAAATCTCTGCCCAAGAAATGTCATGCAGGATATCCTCACCCCCTGAAAGAAGTAAACTAATTTAACTTGTCTTCAGGTGACTGTATCTATGTGAGTAAGATGGTAAAACACAAACTGCTTCTGGCTTCTTGTTTTCCAGTGTTCTGGACTTGGTGCCTCTTTCTGCTATATGCTTTCCTATTTAGTTGGGAGACCAGTTGTATACAAATACCTAACAGAGAAAGCAGTAAAATGGTCACAGCAGGTAAGCATGTGATGTATTTTAAAATTATTAAATGTAACTCTGGTTAATTGGGAGGTCAGTATGTAGTCCCTACATAGGCTAACTCATAAGTTATCTCAGGTAATAAGAATTATCTTTTTTAGTCGGGCTCAGTGGTTCAGCCTGTAATCCTGCGCCTTGGGAGGCTGAGGTGAGTGGATTTCCTGAGCCCATGGGTTCGAGACTCGCCTGGGCAACTTGGCGAGCCCTCAACTCTACAATAAATCAAAAATTAGCCGGGTGTGATAGCGCGCGCCTGTAGTTCCAGCTACTTGAAAGGCTGAGGTGGAAGGATCGCCGGAGCCCAGCAGATCGAGGCTGCGGTGGCCGGTAACGGCCACTGCACTCCAGTCTGGGCAACAGAGTGAGACTCCAACTCACAAAAAAAACCAAAAAATAAAAAAACAAACAAAAAAAGAATTATCTTTTTTATTAAGTTTTGAGCTCCATCTAAGTATGGGTTTAGGCCACCCTCACCCTGTGCATATGCCCTCCCCCAATGGGGCAGTTAGACAAACACAGGTGATCAAGTTTTTCAGGTTTTTTTTTTTTTTTTGAGTCGGAGTCTCACTCTGTCACCCAGGCTAGAGTGCAGTGGTACGCTCACAGCCACCACAGCCTCAACCTGCTGGGCTCAGGCGATCCTTCTGCCTCAGCCTTCCAAGTAGCTGGGACTACAGGCTTGCACCACCATGCCCGGCTAATTTTTTAATTTATTGTAGAGATAAGGTCTCTCCAAGTTACCTGCACTGGTCTGAGACCCGCGGGCTTAGGCAGTCCTCTCACCTCGACCTCCCAAAGTGCTGGAGTTATAGGCGTGAGCCACCGCCCCCATCCAAGAATGAGAATTTGAAATAAAGTGTTTTATATTAAGCAACTTCTTTTCAAAATTGACCTTATCTAATGCTAATTCTTTTCTTTCTTATGACAGGTTGAACGTCATAGAGAACATCTCATTAACTACATTATATTTTTGAGAATAACACCATTTCTGCCTAATTGGTTTATTAATATTACATCTCCTGTGATAAATGTGCCGTTGAAAGTTTTTTTTATTGGTACTTTTCTAGGTAAGTCCTCTGGTTCATGCTGTGTAAGAGCTCACTGTATACATACCTAACAGTATCCAGCTGGGCTAGACTGTGTGCCTCCTCCCTGCACATAGGCCAGCACTATGTCAAGCTCTTGGGCACAAAGCCTGGCTGTGTAAATAGATGTTGGATTATGTTGATTTGGGTTATTTTTGTGTTAACCTCTTTATTTGTTTATTTTTGAGTTGGAGTCCTGCTCTATTGCCCAGGCTGGAGTGCAGTGGCACACTCAAGCCACTGTAGCCTCGACCTGCTGGGCTCAGGCAATCCTTCCACCTCAGCCTTCCAAATAGACGGAACTATAGGCATGCACCTTCATGCCCAGCTAATTTTTCTTGATTTATTACAGAGATGAGGTCTTGCCAAGTTGCCCAGGCTAGTCTCGAACCTGTGGGCTCAGGCAATCCTTTCACCTTGGCCTCCCAAAATGCTGGGATTGTAGGCATGAGCCACCATGCCTGGCCAACCTCTTTCTTTATTTATTTTTTGAGTCAGATTCTCACTGCTGCCCAGACTGGAGTGCAGTGGCATACTTGGGGCCACCGCAGCCTCCACCTGCTGGGCTCAGGTGATCCTTCCACTCTGTCTTTCAAGTAGCTGGATCAGGCACATGCTACCACACCGGGCTAATTTTTTAATTTATTGTAGAGAAGAGGTCTCGCCAAGTTGCCTAGCTTGTCTCGAATGCCTGGACTCAGGCTATTGTCTTCTCTCAGCCTCCCAAAGTACTGGGATTACAGGCATGAGCCACCAAGCCCAGTTGTGTTAACCTCTTTAAGAAGAGTGCTTTCTACTGGATATTGTTTTAATAATACAGGGTTAAGCAAGACTTTCTTTTTTTAGCTGGGGACTCACTCTCTCACCGAGGCTGGAAGACGGAGGCACTATCACAGCTCACCACCGCCTTGACCTCCTGGGTTCAGATGATCCTTCCCTTTCATCCTCCTGAGTAGCTGGGAATACAGGCATGTACCACTGTGCCTGTTATTTTTTTTTTTTTTTTTTTGTAGAAACGAGGTCTTGTTTTGTCAACCAGGCTGGTCTTGAAACTCCTAGGTTCAGTCCTGCTTCAGCCTCCTAGAGTGCTGGGATTATAGTCATAAGCCACTGTACCTGGCCAAGCAGGATTTATTTATTTATTTATTTATTTATAACTTGCAGTCTGTTGCCCAGGCTGGAATGCAATGACATACTCATGGCCACCATAACTCAACTTGCTGGGCTCAGGCGATCCTTCCACCTCAGCTTTCCAGGTAGCTGGAACTAGGGGCACGTGCTACCATGCTCAGCTAATTTTCTTTTTGTTTTTTTTTGTTTTTTTGAGTTGGAGTCTCACTCTGTCACCCAGACTGGAGTGCAGTGGCCGCTCCCGGCCACCGCAGCCTCGACCTGCTGGGCTCCGGCGATCCTTCCGCCTCAGCCTTCCAAGTAGCTGGAATTACAGGTGCGCACTACCACGCCTGGCTGATTTTTTGATTTATTGTAAAGATGAGGTCTCGCTGCCCAGGCGGGTCTCGAACCTGCGGGCTCAGGCAATCCACTCACCTCAGCCTCCCAAAGGCGCGGGATTACAGGCTGAGCCACCGAGCCTGGCTTAATTTTATGTTTTATTGTAGACCTGAGGTCTCATCAAGTTACCCAGGCTGGTCTCGATCCCCTGAGGTCAAGCAATCCTCTCACCTCGGCCTCCCAGAGTGCTGGGATTATAGGCATGAGCCACCACGCCTGGCCGG